GCGGCAAATTTTTTAGCTACTAGGAGAGGGAACGCAATAGTTACATCACAGGGCACCTGGTTTTATCAAAAAAAATAAAAAATAAAATAACAAAATTGTAAACTATACAGCACATTGATAAATTGGAAAGATGAAGAAACAAAAAGTCCAACCTTCACTGTCCTAGATCCTTAAAATCAACTGCTGGCTATATGATGCAAATTGGAAAGTCTATTTTAGACATAAAAGAAAGTAAAATCATTCAGAGTAGTATTTTCCTTTATTCCATTCGTCGAGATCATAACAGCCAGCGTCTTCTCTCTCTTTATTCTTCTTTACTAGTTGTTATAATATTAGGGTCCATTGGACAGATATTGGACAAAGATATTTGTATAAAAATGAATGGATAAAGATATTTGTATAAAATTTTGTTCACAAAATAGTGTACTCACTCTCATAAAATCAGTGAACCCCATGTGAATTTAAAAAATATCAACGTGTGGATCCAAAAAGAATTCTCTGTTGGCAGCCCTTTTTTTCTCTCCGTTCCTCTCTCTCTCGCTTATTGCATATATATAGACTAAGGGCTGCTTGTATATATGTATGAATGTCAGTCGCCTAGTTTGACAAAAAAAGGAACTCCAAAATATATTTCAATTCTCCTTCAATTTCCAGCCCAATTTTGACTTACCAAAGAACTCCAATTTCTCTCTACTTTTCCTATTGCATGCGTGAGTTGTGTGTATATAAATATACATATATATATATACACACACATAAAGGCCACCAACTTGTATTTTATTCCACATAAAATTCCCATAAGCCCACTTTTATTTGTATTAAAAATTCCCATAAGCCCACTTAAATTTTTTTCATATATAAGGTATATCGTTTACACCAATTCACAAATCAAGTACAAAGTTTAAAAATTTAAAATTCAGGTTTCTGTATAATTAATTGATTGAAAATTTATTAATTAAGTATAATAAAGTCACAGTTACATAATTAATGATCACAAAGTCACAATTATGGGTCACAGTTTTATTTACTAATCACATATCATCAAATTAATTAGTCACGAATTTTTTCGAGATCACAAATTAAAAATTTTGTAGGTTATAAAGTATTTTGACGTCACAAATCAAAATGTTTATAGGTCACAGATTGTCACAAATTATCAATTTTAGAGTTACGGACCAAATTTTAAGGTCACAGACCACCGCCAACAAAAAAAAAAAAATCGGTAGTCACCCAAACCACCAACTTGCACCCCTACAAGCACCACCTCTGTGGGTTCACCACACACCACACTATATCCACAACGCACCACCACCACTAGCAAACACCAACAACTGTAATAACATTGCCACCCTCATTGCACCACTAATTTTTTGTCACAGATGCCTAAATCATTTGTCACATATGCCTAAATAGTTGGTCACATACACCTAATCATTTATCACAGATGCTTAAATAGTTGGTCACAGACACCTACCCATCATTGTCACCACAACCACCACCACCACCAAACACACAAGCAACACAACCATCGCCATCCTCACTACATCACAACAACTGCTTCACTCACTGATTCACTTGCAAAACACAAGCAGAACTATTCATAGATCCATCCATTATGGAGGTACTACTTCAAAAACACTTAGGGGGTTGTATTTGTGGTTGACAGTAATGACAGAGATTGTGTTGTGGAGGCAAGTGATGAACTGCGAAGTAGAGTACAGTAGGTCCATCAGCCACCTCAATGCACCACCACCACCACCATCACCACATCATACTATTACCGCCTATCCTTCTCACCAAACCTCGCGGCTACCTAGATCCACCACACCAACTCACCACTATCGCTTGCTGCCTTTCTCATACACCCAATTGGAGTTGATCTCGCCACAACATCGACTCCATGACATCGTGACACTGTCATCACGTAGCCGCATCGATGCACTACTACCATAGATGCCGCCGCCGGCACCACCACCACCACCATCACCCTTCGTACCACTACCACCAATCGTTCTCACCACACCACACCAGACTCACCAAAGCATCAACTCCACAGCGTCGATCAGGCAAATCTATAGTTGTGTCTAGGTTTAGAGTCTAGAGAAAATGGTGGGGAGAGAGAGAGAGAGATTTAGGTTTGAAAATGGAATTGGGGATTGGTTGAGGTTGATTAAGGATAATATATCGGATCTATGATTAATTAAAGTTTGTACTTGAATTTTGAAAAGTAATCTTTAAATGCCAGTTATTGTGCAATTTCCTCTTAATGGGATTCCCAATGGTTAATGAATTTGAATCCTATACAAGTCCAACAATTAGGCCCATTTAATTTATTATTTTCTTCAAGTCCTCAACTTTCAAAGTGCTGAATTTGATCCCCAGCTTTCATCCAATGGCCAATTTAATCCTCGATACTTTGGATTTTGCCATTTTTACGCCACTTTTTGATTCTTTCCTTCAACTTCTTTTTCATTCATAGAGTTACATCTATTAAACATAGAATACAAAAATTTAGGATATCTTTTGTCAAAAGAACCATCAAATATCGTTATTTTAGGCACCAAATAAGTGTATAAAATACACTTATTAGTAGTATCTTCCTTTTTACTGTTTCAATTTTTCTTCCTTTGACTAGAGATTAGGTATCTGCCCCTCCATTGTATTATTATTATTATTTATTTATTTATTTATTAAAAAAAAGGTCGAACCCCAACATTGAGGGCCTTCACCGTCCTGTCCGTAGAGTTTTGTGAGGGAGGTAAATTGCAGGATATGCCTCAACAGGCCAGGGAACAAGACTTGCCTGTACACTGTGCCTATGAGGAGTCCAATTTCATGTCTCAGAAATTAAACCCCCACACTGCTGCTGCCAGCAAGGCATGAGATAACATGTCCCCTTTCGTTCTGTCTTGATAGAGCCTAGAAAACACATTGGTCAACCAGTACGATCAACTTTACAGACGCCAGGGACAGGAAAAATGTATTACTTGCTCCAAGAGTTATAACCATGCTATTCGTGATCTTTTAAATGGTGAAGAAGTATTTGGACAATAATCGTTACTAGCTCAATCCTGTACAAATAAATGATGCTCTACAAGAAGTTATAAGGCGAAGAAATGCTTTCAAGAGGGATCCAATCTATTCGACCCATATGGATTACCACAACGATGGATTCAAGCTTCTTTGCTACACGGTCAAGGTTACTTCTAACAATTTGATCTAAAAGGAACTATATTGCACATTGTCTCGAGACCACTGGGGAAACTGCTCCCACTGGTTGCTGGAGGGAAATTTTTTGGTTTGAACCTGTGGTTGTTCTAAGCCATTTTTAAATGACATATTCCAATTAAAAGTATTTTTCTAAATAGTGTTGCTTCTGTTTGTTTTTGTATGGTCAAGGTTTTTGGGAAATCTCTACCTATGAATAAAGTTTAGACTTCTATACACTCCTCAATTTCTTAAATAATTTCATGTTGTGATTGTTTTAACAGTTTCTCAGGCAATGCTCTTACTAGCCATAAATGGTTGTGCTGATAAATGTATTGTATTTATATTTCTTCAGGAATCTCTTGTAGTTCTCTAATTCTTATGGATTTTCAATATTTCCTTGCAACTATGTAGAAGTTCACAGTGTAGTATAAAAGGTTGTAGTTTGGTCTTTTGAGATCGATTATGTACAACTAATCTCTAATATTATGTTGCACATTCCCATTTTTCTATTTCTGAGCATTTCCAATTTTTTGGTACATATTTTCTAATAGTTTCTAATTTTTACTGCAATTAAATTACATTGGTCTTGAAACTGTTAATTCTATATTTGAATGCTTCTAATAAGTACAATCTGTGCTGTTTCACCTCAATTGCTGTTATGAAATGAAAGTCTAGAGCAGCTGAGATTAGTGTACATTGTAATGCTTATTTGCATGTGAGAAATTCTATCTATTTTATTCACTGTTTTAAAAGACGCGCATTGGTGGCACATGCAAATAAGCATTACAATGTAGGCATTGCCAATGCACGATGCGCGGCGGAAAGGCCAAACCGAGTAGCTTGGTGCCTTATTTAGCAGTCAACAATAACTGTTGACCGGTTATGTGCACCTAGGTGGGCATAATTATCGTTTTTAATTAATTAATTAATTAATTATTATTATTTTTCCAATTTTTCTAAGTTAAAACTTAAATGTTGATTTCTTCATTTCGTTGGTTCTAAATTCGAAATAGCTGCTTGAAGTTTTAAACAAATGAAATCTCGAAAAATTTCTATTTATTTACTATTTGATATTTATATTTGGAACTTATTTTTTTGTTGAAAACTTTGAAAAAAATGTATAAATTTCCTATAAAATTGATTTAGATATATGGTAGGTATTATTTTAAATTATTAAACGGTTTTTTTGATTGATTAAAAATTAAAATAATATTAAAATAAGAAAACGCATTTTTTACGTTTTTTTACGTCTATGCTTCATTTTTAAACATTGATTTTATTGCAATTGGTTGACGCCTTTTTACATTTCTTTATCAGAGAATCTATTGTCATTCTTTTGAGATTAAATTCAAAGAAAATGTAGTTTCATAGAGGAAAACTACGAAAAGAAAACATGGGCATACTCTAATTCGCTACATTAAATTAGCATAAAAGTTGAGAAATTATATCTCGTGCATTTCTTTAATTAAGCCTGTCCAGCAACACTACACATTTCAGGTTCTAAACATGGACAAAGTATCGTATTGAGCTGCAAATTTCTGTTGAGTTTGTTGTTTTAAGACTTTCCTAATGTAACAGCAGAGAATTAATGTTTTTGACCTACATAAAATTATTTAGGCACATAAAAGTTCATCTTTGTAACCTAAGAAAGAACAATAAATTTCAAGTAATGACACTTATGTTATATTTTTTATTACTATGGTCTAATTACTATAAAAAGAGGGTCATAGACTTTCTTGATCACTCAACAAATAAGAAAAGCAAAAGAAATTGAGAAAAAAAGAGCAAAAATGGCTTCTTTCCTACACAACTTCTCATCTGTGTTGATTTCCATGGTTCTCATTTTCTTGCTTGTGGTTCCATCTTTAATGTGCCACTCAATGGAGGAAAAGGATCTTCAGCACATTTGCTCCAAAACCCAGAATCGTACAGAGTGTTTGAATCTGTTTAAATCAGATCCCAGAAGCTTGAACACAGATATAAAGGGCCTAACAGGAGTTGCAGTTGACCTGGCGTTGAACAAATCCAATGCAGTCCACACCCAGTACAATCAACTCTACACAGACACCAAGAATTCTGAATTGCAGGAGAAGTATGTTGCTTGCTCCAAGAATTACAACGATGCCATTCGTGATCTCCAAGTGGTGAAGAATTATTTAGATATTAATCGTTACAGGTTCATTACTGTCGAAATAAAAGATGCCCTGCAAGAAGTTATGAGTTGCAGAAATGTTTTAAAGAAGGAACCAATCGACCCGGCCAATATGGACAACCAGAACGAGGAATTCAAGCTTCTTTGCTACATGGTTAAGGTCACTTCCCACTATTTGATCCAGAAGTAATCATATTTGTGCTCTGTCTCAAGCACTGCAAAGCAGTTGCCCCCCGCTGGGGAAAGATTTTTTTTTGGTCACTGTGGTCTGAATCTGTCTTAGTTCTAAGCCATTTTTGTATGGCATGATTCCAATAACAGTTTTTTCTTTTTAATAGGATCAAGGTTTACAGGAAATCCCTTCCCGAATAAAGTTTAGTCTTTTATACACTACTCACTTTTTGAATTATTTCATGTTAAATTTCCCAAACATAACTTTCTTAGTTCCAAGCCATTTTTGCATGCCATTCTCGCTTAATATTTGTAATTTGAGTATGAATGCATAATCTGACAATTAGTATCTAAGATTGCAGGATACCCTCATAATCAGTTACAAACTTGTCATTCAGCAGGACTATCCATGGGTCCAACTCCAACCCAAAGTTCTAATTTTATGTGTTGAGACTCCATATTCAAATTCACCTGAACAATTCAATGAAAACGGAATCTTGGTTATTCCAGTTGTGTATCAGTGCCACCTTTAAGGGTTGAATCTTGAAACGAGGTGAGATATTCAAGAATTGAAGGGCTCAAGTTTTTATCTCTTATTATTCAACAAGGAACAAGCAAATTGTGGTGTTAAGATGTCAATTCATCGTCTCTAATGTATCAGTTCCATTTATAGATTTGATAGTACACAGAGAGATTCGTAATGTATGTAACTAGTCCTTTGAGGACCATTCTTTATTTGCCCCATAGTAGGAAAAGGGAGCAGGCAGTCTGGCTAGTGAAAATGAAGGACAATGACGAATATGTCCCTTTTTCTGAGATCATAAAAAAGGGGAGGCCCTTGAAAATTTTCCAATGCCGTAAAAACAATTTTTTGTTGGAAAGACAATCACATCAACCATGTCTTAAGAGTGTAATACTCATATAAACTTCTTAGGAACTAAGCTAAAATAAAAATGTCATAGCTTTCACATTACTCTCTTTGGAGGAGCCAAGAAGTGGAATAGTAAGTGTGCATCATGCAGGAATGCCCTGCCTGTCCTCGACATGAAAGATCGATTTGGAATGATTGACTCCCTTTTAAAGAGAGGTAATAAACCGAAGACCCAAAACCTATGATGGATGGGTGGATTTTATCAAAGAAGAAATTCTTGATCAAGAAATGATAAGGCCAGAGGATACACCACAGAAGCACGATGGACGGATAGAGGCTCCGATGCCAAGTTAGAGGGCCCTAAGGCTTCCCTGCCTGCAAAAAAACTATCAAGAGATCGAGGAAAATGTTGTGATTCGCGAGGCATCACACGCAGGGCCAGACAGGTATCCTGGTGAGGATGGAGACTCGTCCCCAACAAAATACTGCAGGTACTACCAGGTGTATGACCATGATACAACTACGGGTCCTAAGGGAGTGCCTTTTGAACGGTTTCCATTAGTGGAGGGGGCAGCGCTGCTAGTGTAGAGTCACTCTCCAAGCTTAGGTTGTCCCATCGGGGAATGTGAGTGGTTAGGTCCATTGTGAGGACATCATCTGGGGACAAGCTACCTTTTAGATAATGATTAGGTCGTCCCTCACCACTTCTCCGAACACAATTTGTATCCATTTTCACTTTAGGTGGTGGTGATTCGGAATGTTAAAATCTTCTAGCTGAGCTGAGCTGTTGCTCTTGCTAATCACTTTTACACATTGCATTCCTACTGCCCTTCTAAAATCATGAGAGATGAGTATCCGTCCACAATTGTAATATTATAAGCTCCAGAAACGAACACACAACTTTTATCAGCTGTACTATTTGTGACTAGCAAGACCCTTCACCGACTAACTATTAAAAATAGTAAAAACGTAAAATCAATTCAAGACATCAAAAGTGTATAAAAGACTAAATTTTATTCATAGATGGGGATCTGCCAAGAACCTTGATCATTTTGAAAAAACAGCAGCAACACTAAAACAATAAAGAAAAGGCTTAAAACTACGCCATACAAAAATGGCTTTGAACTAGACAGATTCAGACCACAAAACACTAAAAAATTCCTTCCAGTACCCAGTGGGAGCAACTGTGTTGGTATCAATAATGTCCCAGAAATTCGAATCGAGTAAATCAAACACAAAGAACACAAGTATTTTTTCGCCCGAAGGCCCGGATGTTCACCAAAAATGGCTATGTCACCCGTTGAGCTTCCACCTAAGTCGTTAACGCTCTAATCCACTAGAATCCAAACAAAAATATCAAAGTACAAGGATAATCGACCCAAAAAACACTCGATTTTGAAACCCTCAGACTTAGCCTCACTTTTCTCTCATTTTCAGGATTACACCAAGTAATCGAGTTCAACACAGAACAAAAACAACTAATTATTACAATAATGAGACTGGAAATCACCAAGAAGACCAGAAGACTCAAAATCACATAATGAAAACTAAGGGTTTTTAGAGAGAGATCACGAAGAAGACGAAAGAGACTGAAAAACCCTAGAATAATCTCGAATCTAAGAAGAAATCAGAGAGTTGAGAATATAAAAAGTCGTCAATGCATCCAACGGTCCAGCCAGCAACACTTGTCTTCATCTCAGCCTTCCATTAAAAATGTGTCTTTAGTTAATGCGAGATAGAAAACAAACATGGGCCAAACCGGGTCACATTTTATTGATTGGGTCAAGAGTTTACTTCAATTTCCATTTATTGGACTGCATCATTGGGCCCAAGAAAAAAAAGATGTTAAGCACATTTTAACAAACTGCCGCACTACAACCATACTGGCTCCGCTGCGCTTGAGATAGCGCACAAATATGGTTACTTCTAGATCAAATAGTGGAAAGTGTTCTTAACTATTTCCCAAAGAAGCTTGAATTCCTCATTGTGGTAGTCCATATTGGACGGGTCGATTGGTTCTTTCTTGAAAGCTTTTCTACAACTCATAACTTCTTGCAGAGCGTCATTTAATTCAACAAGAATGAACCTATAATGATTAATATCCAAGTACTTCCTCACCAATTGAAGATCACGAATGGCATCGTTGTAACTCTTGCAGCAAGCAATATACTTTTCTTGCAATTTAGAATCTTTGGTTTCCGTGTAAAGTCGATTGTACTGGGTGTGGACTGCATTGGACTTGTTCATCGCCAGGTCGATTGCAACTCCTGTTAGGCCCTTTATATCTGTGTTCAAACTTCTGGGATCTGATTTAAACTGATTCAAACACTTAGTAGAATTATGGGTTTTGGAGCAGATGTGCTGAATATCTTTTTCCTCTATTGAGTGGCACATTAAAGATGGAACTACAAGCAAGAAAAAGATAAACATGGAAATCAACACAGATGAGAAATTGTGTAGGAAACAAGCCATTTTGGCGTTCTTTTTCTTGAATTTTTTGATTTTTGTTTGTTTGTTTGAGTGACTAAGAAAGTCTATGACCATCTTTTTATAGTAACTAGTAGTAAGAACGTGCGTTGCACGTTTTATATATAAGACAAATGATATACATAATATTTTTAAGTACTAAGAAAGTTTTTTAAAGTAGTTGATGTAATTAATATTACTAAAGGAAAAATTAAAATTGTAAAAAAATATGTATATGAATAACACATTTTATGAAATTGTGCATATAATGTTAAAGGTTTAATAAATTGAAATGTAATATTTTCATTTGAATAACACTTCTTTGTACACAATATTTCTTGTCAACATCCTACAACTTTTCTTCTTTTTATTTTTTATTTTTAGTCTTTTATAAAAACTTTTGTTGTTTGCATTGAAACTTCACAAAAAAGTGTGAGATATAGTTGCCCATAAGATAATATATATTCAGAAATGTATATTCTAATAGTAAGCATTCTTCGTTCTTAATGATAATTGCAAGTATAGATGTGTTGAAAATTGTTCTCTCTTAAATTTGAATAAATATCCTTCATCATTTGTTTGAGTTAATGGGATGAGTGAATACTATTTGGCAACAATGTATTTAGGAACTCCTCTTGATTAAATTGATTTGTATTTAGATTCCACACAAAAGATAAAAATGAGAATCAAATATAAAACGAAATTACTAAAAAGAACATACCTTGAGGATGAAGGACTAAGATAATCGAATGTTTAAGTGAATTGACAATAAGTATGTCAAAAAATTACTAAATTCTATTACTACTACAAACAAATGGCGTGCTTAAATTCTTAAAATTGAATTGTTATCATTTTTACTTTATTTTGAATGGCAACTTCATATACATTACAAAAAATTTTCTTTAACATAACAAAATTCTTATTTGATCTATCTGAATATAAATATTTCAAATTAAATTTAAAAAGTAAAGTATGTATACATGTGACTATTAAAATGCCAAAATTGATGCATAATTTATATTCATTAAATATATTCAAAATCACAAAATATAAAAAGTTATACCTCATTTAATTTGTTGAAAGTAGTGACATATTTAATATGTTGCTTTGGTTTGCCTAAATTTAAGTAAATATATTTGACTTATTTAGATTCAATACGATCTGATTAGATTTGGTATCATTGGAGTGGTATCATTGCATGTACCCCTTTTCATAATAATCTTGTGAAAGTCGAAAGGAAATGATAATTAAAAATTATAAAATTAATTGGTACGAACTTAAAACAAAAGCTAGTTTTCTAAATATTTTTTTGCACATAGTATAATATAAAAAAATAATTTATAACTTAAACAAAATTATAAAGTCAAATTTAAGATCTTTCAGCATTTAATAATGTTAATATTTTTAGTAATATTTATATATAATATAAGTTTAATAAGCATTAATGATACTTAAATTTTTTTTTAATATATCATATAACAATATTTTAATATGATGACATTAAAATTTAAAACATACATTTTTTAGTATGATATGACTAATATTCTATCATTATAATTGATTAAAAAATTTTCTGATATGCCTACAGAATTTTAAAATATCAAAACACTTGGACAAAAAATTGTGGGTTGCCACATAAACCTTAAACTATTTGATTATGCAATTAAATTATTTACATAATTAATTTTTAATTATAATTTTGCGTTAAATCCAATACTCAAAATGAAATAAAACAAAAAAGCTGGGAGGCTATGTGTTCAAGAGCTTTCTTAATTATTAATAGTCATGATTAATTAAATAATAAAAATTATCTTTTCTACAAATTAAAGGTAACAGTACTAAGTGAATGCAAATTATAGAAATGGCTATAATCAATAAAATTAATATCTCAAAAATTATTCATATTCTATGGATATGTGTATTGAATCGAATTTGTAAGGGTTAAAAATTCTGAGAATATGTCACTCAAAATTTGGGAGAATCTAATTTCAGATTTTGATGATTTTTTTTCTCTTTATCCAATATTTAAGTGAAGAAATTGTAAATTTTAATAAGCACCAAACTGTTTTTCAGACTGATAACTCATGCCTAAATTTATTGCAAGTGAAATTGATATTAGGATTTCCAATTCCTCAAAACTAACATTTATTATTGTACAACTGTAACAATAAGAAAGAAATTATGTTCATAAATCAA